TCGTCATCGCCATCACCATCAGCATCATCACCAGCTACAGCATCATCATCATCATCATCATCATCATCATCATCATCATCAGCATCAGCATCACCGTCATCAGCACCATCATCACCACCATCCTCATCACCACCATCATTCCTTATACATCTCTTTCTCCTGCTCATCCCCATGCTCGCATGTTCATCCGCAGCCGCCTCTTCCTCCTCCTCCTCCTCCTCCTCCTCCTCCTCCAAGTTACGGGGCGATGGGGTCACTTGGGGGATCCAGGTCCTCAGCGCAAGCTGTAACGAGACGGAATGGGTGAACGGGGTCGGATGTCAGATATGGTGCGCGCGTGCACCTGGCTTTCCCTTGCCCTCCTCCCCTTCCTCCGCTCGCCTCCCCCTCCCCCCCCCTCGCCCTGCCGCCCGCCCCCCCCCCCTCTCTGCCCCTTCGCCCTCCCCCCTTCTGCCTCCCCTTCCTCTGCTCCTCGGACCAACCAGCGCGAACCACGAAGACGGAGGGTGGCATCCAGGCCCCCGCCCCTCTCGCGAACGCTCCGACGGGCCCCCCAAAGCCTTCCCTCGGCCCCTTTGGGGGGGCCACATGCGGGCCCTACCCCTGCCCCCCACGATTTCCGAGGGGGAGGGTGGGGTCCACTTCGCTCGGGAGCTCCCGAACAACGCGAACCCCACCCGACCCCTCCTTAAGGCCCATTGGTGCACGGCTTCCCCCGGGGACGTGGCGACCCGAGGAGGAGGAGGAGGAGGAGGAGGAGGAGGAGGAGGAGGAGGGAGGAGGGGAGAGGGAGGAGGGAAGGAGATGAGGAGGAGGAGGAGGAGGAGGAGGAGGAGGAGGAGGAGGAGGAGGAGATGGAGGAGGAGGAGATGGAGGAGGTGGAGGTGGAGGAGGTGGAGATGGAGGAGGAGGCCCCCTGCCCGTTCGTGCCCGCCCCGCCCCCGCCCGCCCGCGAGCGGCCCGCCTGCCCCGTCGGCGCCCGGCCCCTCCGCCAGCGCCGCCGCCGCGGCAACCGCCGCCTGGTCGGGCGGCAGAGGCGCGGCGCGGGGCGCCAGCGCCTGCGGGCGGGCGCGCGCCCGCGGGCCTCCCGAGAAGGAAGGGGGGTAAGGAGGAAAAGGGAGAGGAGGAGGAGGACAAGGGCGAGGAGGAGGAGGAGGAGGAGGAGCGGAGAGGAGGAGGAGGAGAGAGGAGGAGGAGGAGGAGGATGAGGATGAGGAGGAGGAGGCGGAGGAGGAGGAGGAGGAGGAGGAAAAGGGCGAGGAGGAGGAGGAGGAGGAGGAGGAGGAGGAGGAGGAGGAGGAGGAGGAGGAGGAGGGAGGAGGAGGAGGAGGAGGAGGAGGGAGGAGGAGGAGGAGGAGGCGGAGGAGGAGGAGGAGGAGGAGGAGGAGGAGGAGGAGGAGGAGGAGGAGGAGGAGGAGGAGGAGGAGGAGGAGGAGGAGGAGGAGGAGGAGGAGGAGGAGGAGGAGAGAGGAGGAGGAGGACGGGAGACAATGAGGAGGAGGAGGACGGGAGACAATGATGAGGAGGAGAGAGGAGGAGGACAGTGAAGAGGAAAGGGGGAGGAGGGAACGGGAATGAGGAACAAGGAAGGAGGGAGAGAGGGAGAGGAGGAGGCGGGCCCCCACCTGGAAGGTCAAGCTCACCTGCGGGCCCAGCGGCCCGGGCTGGAGACTGGCGACCGCGCCAAGGCCCTAGCCCTGGCATCCCGTCGGCAGATCAGCCTCGGCCTCCCCTCGGCGAGCTGGCGGGCAGGGGCGCAGCTCTGGGTCCCTGCAGAGCGAAGTCTATCAAACGTGTTTAATAATATGTCGCGTGCGATGACTATGCTACCAGGCTCATATTTTCTGAGAGGCCGAGAGCAGAGCAGGAAACCAGCAAACACCTCCACCCTCCACCAGGCAAGGTGACTAGGCAAATGAGAGCGCATCACATCGAGAAAACAGGGCCTTGAAGAGAATAGTAAAGTTGTTATCCCCCTATGCACTGACACCCACACCTGCACCCCAACGTAGGCTGGCGGCATTCCCAGGAGGTATTCCAAGCATTGCAAATACTGCGCAACAAACTTATCTGGATGATAGGAGCAACATTATGACCGACCAGCTTAAGACGATCGAAACAGAGCGGGCCTCAGGACGGCAAAATATCCCCGAGCTCGTCAAGAAAACGCTTGTGCCAATAACGCATCCGATCGTACAAGAGATCCTGGAAACTCCTGAAGGGAACATGTCCTTGGACGATGTTGGTCATTGTTTTCTGCAGCTTAGGTCCGAAAAGGCTAGGAGCTTGAGAGGTCTTTGAAAGCTCTAGATAATTCTGGTGAAGCATGATGACAGAAGACTTGCAATGAACAGGGTGAACAACAGCGTCAATATGGGCTTCGTCATCGTCAAATGCGTCCTGAAGCTTCTCAATACATGCAAAGAACACTGATGACGCGAGCACCGCACGGTATGCAGCGGCCCCTGCTGCGTGCTTCAAAGATCGAGCAGACATCTGATTCTTCCCAAACGCGGCAAAGTTGCACAGCATATCATAAGGGAAGCATGCATCGGAGCACACGTCAGACTCTGTAACCCAAGATGCACCCGCCACTCTACGCCGGCTGTGGGTGGGAATCACTGGACAACACATAGCGGAACCGTGACCGCGATCTGGTTAAACGCTTTCACCGAGAGCGCGAGCCCCAGCTTAAGCGACTTGATGAAGCGGCTACGCTCGCGGAACTTCAACGTAGGGCCGGCACACATTTCTTCTTGCGACCTGACTCCGCACTTGACCCGAAGATACCGCGCACAGGAGGCCATCCGCTTCTCGAAATTTCTGAAGCTGGCTTCTCGGACGACATCGCAAGGAGGGAAGAGGAGGAGGAGGAGGAGGAAGAAAAGAGGAAGTCGGCTACGCGTCTCAGAAGGCCCGTGATTACGCCTATCCCTGCAGTGTCGTACTATCCACTGCGTCCGCGGGAAGCGATGATGACACAAGTGCCGCTGCCGCTCTGGCCAGACGCGGTCAGCGCCGTGCTGTCGCCGACTGCTTCAGATCTTGACAGCGTGCCTGCCCACAGTCGGATTGGCGGAGGAGGGGGAGCCACCCACAGGCCCCGTGTGCAGCTTCTCGTAGCATCGTGGGGGAGCGGTGGGCGCGCGCCGTGCGCTGCACGGGTGCTCCTTTCCCAGAAGGGAAGCACCTGATGATGCAGACTGCCAGCTTCCCAGCCGATGGGACAATGACTCCGCCACGCAAGCCTGGAGAAGGTGGCCAGGGCACCTGTCCTGACTACCTACCAGACCACCCCAACCCAACCCGAAGACCCGAATTTCGGGTTTGGGGGGGGTAAGGGTTCCACATGCGTTTTTTCGATGTTTCCCGACCCCCCCCACTGGAAATCGAGGGTAAATCTGAGCCTTCGGGTTGGGTTGGGGTGGTTTGGTGGGTGGTGGTGTCCCGGGCAGTGCAAAGTTGTGGCCAGGCACGCTGTGCGTGCGACGGCGAAGAGACCCATTAAGCCTTAAGAGCAAGAAGGCAGGGGGACAGCAGCTGTTTATAGGGAGCCCACCCTGGACTAGGAGGCGGCAATATATTCAAAAGCTTGCACACCATATACGCTGGCACTGCGCGGGCAGCTCAGACTGAGGCACGCCCGCGCGAGGAGTTGGACTGCAGAGTTCCGCGTCCATGCCTCCAAAACCTCGGAATCGGCATGGCGATCCTACGCCACTCGATGGTACCTCGAAGGGAGGAGGGGGAGGGGGCGAAGGGAGGAAGAGGGAGAAGAGACGGCAAAAGCAAGAGGTGAACTAGAGACCAGGAAGCGCAGCAACTCGGGTACCGAAGGCATGTCAGTGTAACCTTGAGAAAATCAAACACAACCCTTCGGAATGAAACTGCCTGCATCTGCCGGCAAATGGCACAACCTGCATCCATCGCAGAGCAGCGTGCGATAAAAACACACAACCCCGGTTGCCATCACCCGGAGGTGGAGGGGAGGAGGGACGAGGCCCGGGAGACGAGGAGGAGGAGGAGGAGGAGGAGGAGGAGGAGGAGGAGGACAAGGCGTAAAATTGCGAGCGCCATCCCAAACGGGCACTCCGCACATGTTGTCCGCCCTCACGAGACGAGGCAAAGGCCTGGGCAATAGACGCTCTCCAGTGGTTTCGGTCCAGGGAAGGTCTACTCAGAGATGGTTTTGAGGGCCTTTTTTCGACACCCCTCACGAGGATTGTGGTCTCCGAGGGGGGTGCACTCGCCTACCCCGCCCCAAGAGGCCCCCAAGAGCCCCCCAAGAGGCCCAAGGGGGCCCCAAGACGCCGCCAAGGAGCCCCAAGAGACCCCCAAGAGGCCCCCAAGAGGCCCCTAGGAGGCCCCTAGGAGGCCCTCAAGAGGCTTCAAAGAGGCCCCATAGAGCGCTCGAGGGCCGGCGGAATGAGCGAAGCGATTCAATAAACGCTCTCCAGTGGTTTCGGAAATAATCTCCGAGCGGGCGCCACTGCCCGGCGCAGGAGCGTGGGACACCTGCGGCTCCCGAGCGGTGCGCGGCGCCATGCCCCGGGCAGCTGGTAGCCTGCCAGCACAGTCGGGGCGTTGGCCTAAGGAACCCTAAATAGGGAACGAGGCCCCTATTTTCCAAAAGTTAACCTTCGACTTCCTGTCGAAAACATAAGGAAAACCTGAGGCAAGCTGCGAAACACTTAAGGAACGCGGAGCCCCTCCCCAACGAAAAGGGTTCCTTCTTCAGGGCCCCGACGGTACGCCCTGGCCGTGCACGAGACCCATAGAGTACCGAGAAAGGAGCCCTGTCAGGCAGTCGATCAGCAGCCCAACTGGCCGGCGCGGGTGCTCGCCCCGTTGGGGGGGAAAGATCTTCCGCCCGAGACCTCTGCGGTGCCAGGAGTCCTTCGGAGATCCAGCCCCGAAGGCTTTTTCTGCCACGCAATGGACGCATCGCATGGTATTTCGCGGGGGCGCCAGGAATTGTAGACAACTGTTTGCAAAGTCTGTCAGTTGGTATGAAGCTCGTCGAATAGTTCGATCTCATCATTACTCTGGGGGAAGTGGCAGGAATGGTAGACGTATTGACCTGGCTCGGCATCGGCCTCCATGGGAAGCACAAGGATCCCCCCCCAATCCTTGCCCCTCTTCCCTCATCCACCCTCCCGTTCGCCCGGCAAGGCTGGAATTTAGAAGCCTGTGATGCGCACCCACATGGAGGGGTGGGACCAGAGCTCACCTCAGGGGAGGGGAATGACAAGAAAACGGTGGAGAAGTGGAAAGGGAGGGAAGTCCACCCAGGTGTCAGGCCGGCAGCCGCCCTTCTCCTCTGCCAACTCGTGACGACGACGCAAATCAACGAGGAGAAGGTAGGAGGAAGGATGGCGAGGGGAGGAAAGATAAGCAGAGGGAGTTTGATGCTCATTCTGGGGACCTTCCTGGAGCCACTCGCCCCACTCATGCGTCGATGCTGTATCGAACACCTGTCGGTTTGCGTAAACATTGGGTCGGACTGGAGTCGAACCAGAATCGAAGAGATCCGTCAAGATGGGCTCCAGGAAGGTCCCTCGAACGAGCGTCTAAGCATGGGGGAGGCGACGCTAACGAGGAAGAGGGAAAGAGAGAGGGAACGAGAAAGAGTCGGCCACGCGCAGAGGGGGGTAGGAGGAGGGGGGAAGGCTTCTTAGAGGCACCCCTGCTTCCTAGAAGGCGCCGGCCTTCTCTGTAGACGTGAGGCCGGGGCCTTCTGAGAAGCAGGGGTGCTTCTAAGAAGCCTCCCCCCCTCCTCCCACCCCTCTGCGCGCCGCTGAGACCCTACCCCTACCCCTACCCCCCACGACTTCTGCGAAGTGAGCCCCCACCCTCTCCCTCAGAAATCGTGGGGGGCGGGGGCAGGGTCCGCATGTGGCCCCCTAAGAGGAGAGAGGGGGGGGGACGCCGAGACGCAGCGGTGCCCCGCGGGGCCTTCTCGGGCATGGGGGGCGTGGGCGTCCTCGGCGCCCGCTCCCCCTCGGCGGGCCCCCCGGCGCCGCGGCGGTCCTGTCGCGGCGGCCACCCTCTGTGGAGAGACATCAGCATCATCATCATCATCATCATCATCATCATCATCATCATCATCATCATCATCATCATCATCATCATCATCATCATCATCATCATCATCATCATCATCATCATCATCATCATCATCATCATCATCATCATCATCATCATCATCATCATCATCATCATCATCATCATCATCAGCATCAGCATCATCATCATTATCATCATAATCATCACCATCACCATCACCATCATCATCATCATCATCATCATCATCATCATCATCATCATTACCATCACCATCGTCAGCATCATCATCATCATCCTCCAGCTCATCATCATGCTTATCATTATCATTATCATTATCATCATCATCATCATCATCATCATCATCATCATCATCATCATCATCGTCACCATCATCATCATCACCATCATCATCATCAGACTTACCATTGTCATTATGACAATCATTAGCACTATCAACATCATCACCACCATCATCAGCAGCAACACCATGATCACCATCATCAGTATCACAATCATCATCCTCATCATCACCATCAGCAGCAACAATATCATATCAGCCAACGTTGACTCCAAATCCGCCGATCTGGCGTGTGAGTTTCAAAGACCCTCAGATATAGTTTTAGCCTCAGTTCTTGAGCTTCAGCTCTGCTGGGGGGGGGGTGCCGGGGTGGCTCTGCCGGGGTAAGCGGGGGGGGGGTCCGAGTCAGTTTTGGTGGCAAAATCGGAGCTCCAGCTCACTGCGGGTCGGCCCCTCGCCCCGGAGAGCTCGAACGCGGGCTCATAAAAAAACCCAGCGGCCGCCCAGACGGCCCACGAGGGCCCTGAGTGGCCTGAGTGGCCGAACATTATGTTCCTCAGACGGCTCCAGAAATCTCTCACGTACCCCCCCGACACCTCCTAAGAATGCCCAAAGACGGAAAATCTGTCCCATTCCCTTGGGAAAACGTGCAGCCCAAGAGACCCCCAAAACAGGCCCAGAGGCTCTCACTCTCAAGAGGGCCCCAAGTCGGCCCAAGAGGGGCCCAAAACGGCCCGGGAGGCCCCCAAGACAGCCCAAGCGGGCCCCAGGACGGGCCCAAGAAGCGCCCCTGAAGGGCCCAAAACGGCCCAAGAGGCGCCCAGGAGGCGCCAAAATGGCCCTAGGAGTCCCCAAGAAACCCCGAGAGGCTCCAAGTGGCCCTCAAGAGGCCCCCAAAAGGCGCCCCAAAGCGCTCCCGAAGGCTTAAAAATTACCTCCTACACACCCCCAGGAAGCCTCCAGGATGCCTCCATGCCCCCCAAGAAGCCCCAAAGGCCCCCAAGAGGCTCAACAATTACCTCCAAGACGCCCCCCCCAGGAGGCCTCGAAGATGCGTCGCAGAGGCCCCTCAAGAAGCCCACGCAATGCCTCCAAGCTTTTCCAAACCACTTACGTTTGAACAAGCGCGCTGGGGCAAAAGCGTCCTTCTGACAGCGGGATCGTCCCGGATCGGCGGCACCAGCAGGAGGCCACTACAATAGATTAGACGACCCAAATCAAGGAATCTGAGGAATCAAGCATGCTTGGAATCCGCAACTCAGCAAGCAAGCGTGCAAGCAAGCGCGCAGGCAAGCAAGTAAGCAAGCAAGCAAACAAGCAAGTAAGCAAGCAAGCAAGCGTGCAAGCGAGCAAGCGTGCAAGCGTGCAAGCAAGCAAGCATAGGCATAGGCGTAGGCGTAGGCATAGGAGTTAGGGGAGAGGCATAGGCATAGGCATAGGCATAGGAATTAGGGGGCGCATAGGAATTCGAGGGGGGCAACGGACCAATTAGTAGGGTTTGAGCTAGGATTCCTACAGGGCAAATCTATTTGGTGAATCATCATCATCACCGTCCTCATTATCAACGGAAAACTCACCATCAACATCAACAGCAACGTCCTCCTCCTCCTCATCATCATCACCACAATCATCATCATCAAGATCGTCATCACCATCAGCATCAACATCATCAACATCCCAAGCATCAACAGCATCATCATCGTCGTCACCGTCATCCTCACGATCATCACCACCACCGTCGTCGCTTCACCATCACCATCATCATCATCATCATCATCATCATCAGCATGACCATCATCATCAGCATCACCATCAACATCAACAGCAACGTCCTCCTCCTCCTCATCATCATCATCATCATCATCATCACTACAATCATCATCACCAAGATCGTCATCACCATCAGCATCAACTTCACCAACATCTCAAGCATCAACAGCATCATCATCATCACCACCATCATCACGATCATCAGCATCACCAGCACCAGCAACAACATCATCATCATATTCCTCCTCGTCATTATCTTCATCCTTCTTCTCCTCCTTATGCTCCTCCGCTTCAACCTCAGCATCATCATCGTCACCATCAATCACCCTACATCAACAGCATCAACATCATCATCCACATCATGATCATCGTATCATCATCCTCATCCTCATCATCATCAACAACATCACCACCATTACCATTGACAGCATCATACTAGATAACCATCAACATCATCATCCTAACCGTTATCATCATCCTCATCCTCATCCTCATCATCGGCATCCTCACCATCCCCATCATCATCAAACGTAACATCAATATAACCAATCTTCATGTCACCATCAATAACAAAACCATCATCATCACAACCACCACCACCACCCTCATCCACGCCCTCACCATCCCCATCCCCATCCCCGTCACCATCATCATCAGCATCAGCATCATCATCGTTGTCGTCATCGTCATCGTCGTCGATATCATCCTCGTCATCGACGTCGTCATCATTATCATCAGCAACAACATCAGCAATAGCATCATCATGGTCATTTCCGCCATCATCATCATCGTCGTCGTCATCTTCGTCCATCGTCACCGTCACCGTCACCGTCATCCTCGTCATCGTCATCGTCGTCATCATCATCATCATCATCATCATCAGCATCATCATTACGATCCTCAGCAGCAATAGTATGATCATAGATTCTTCCACCAGCGTCTCTGCCACCGTCATCACTTCAACCATCCGCGGCATGTGGTTGCCCGATGGCGGCTGCCCGCGGCGCTCGACGCGGGAGCGCAGGCTCGCACGGTGCCTGCGAGCCGCGCCCCGCGGGCCCCGGCGAGGCGATGGCGCAGTTCGGGGGCCAAATGCAAACCCTGCCCCTGCCCCCCACGATTTCTGAGGGGGAGGGTGGGGTCCATTTCATTCGGGAGCTCCCGAACGACGTGAACCCCGCCCTCCCCCTCAGAAATCGCGGGGGGTCGGGGTGGGGTTCGCATGTGGCCCCCTAGGCCCTAGCAATCCCCGCAGACCTGGCCAGCGGGGTCGCCAGGCGCGGCGCGTGCTGCTCGCGGCGCGTGCTGGTCGCTGGGCTGCTCGGCGAAAGCGCGCGCGCGGCCGGGCGTGCCACTCGTCGGCGAACTGCCCGCGGCACGCCAGCCTCCCGCCGGCCGGCGGCCCCTCGCGCGGCACGCCGCGGGCCGCGGGATCCGAGCTCCTGGGCGCGGGCCGCCTGGAGGGCAGCCAGCAGCAGCGGCCATGGAGAAGTGACGTGACCAGAAATGACCATGAAAGGACAACGTCCACGAAAGAAAAAACGAGTTGGGCGGGGACTTAATCAGTGGAAGAGTCCCCGCGGCGGCGGCCACGGAGAACAGCGACCGTCGGCTTCGGCGCGGCCCCGGGCACTGGCGCGCCCTCGACCCGGAGGGGGGGGGGGGGGGGATTTTTTCTGGCCAGCGGCCAGCACAGGCCACTTCACCTCGGCTGCTCCTCAGGGCCCCTCCGAGGGCAAAAGGGCCCCGAGTTCTCGGCAGAGCCGCGCGGGCGGCCGGACGAGCCAGCCACCTCGCAGAAGGCAAGGAGGCTGTTCGGGCGCGAGCTGGCACCGAGAAAAACGCGCACACACACACACACACACTCCTGTAAAGCGCGAGCGACAGCCAAGAGGCGAACAGGCATAGACGGTCTGAACGCGGCGTTGCACGAGTGGAAAAACATCGCGCGCGGACCCGACCTCGGCGGTAGCACCCCAGGAGGCCAGCGCCAGATGGAGCCAGGAACCCCGACCTTACGCAGGCAACTCGAGGAAACCTTAATGGCCCACGCGGCAGACCACGGGCCCCCATAAAAAACCTGGCGCCTCCCGCGAGGACGGTGCCAGGTCCAGCCAGCTGGCCGTGGCACAGGAAAAGGGAGGCGCGCTGGAGGAGAGGATAGGAAGAGGCGCAGCTTGTATTGCGTCATCATCGCCATCAGCTGAGCAAGCGCTCGCGCGGTCAATCAGACGGTTAGCAGGCTGGGCATTGCCGCCCGCGGATGAAACGCCACGGGCAGCACGAGCCCACGTGCCAGGAAGGACACGCAGGAGGCAAGAATGCAAACGGGGCAAGGCATTGGGAGGCATGCTCCAGGCGCGCCAAAAGTTAGAGCTGCTATGGTGTCGGCAACTGAAGGGGGAGGACGTGGCCACCAGCGGTGCCTCACCGTCCTCCCTCCTGAGTCGATCCACCACCTGCCTCAAAGCGCCTAGTTCCTGTGGCACGACGAACGACAGCTCGGCGGCAGATGAGGATGAGCTAGGCTGCAATGGGGCCCCACCCGAAGCATCCGCTCCAGGAGCGGAGGGGAGGAGAAACCAGTGTGGGGGAATCGAGCCACTTCTTCCTCCGCTTCAGTCGGGAAAGCAACCTGGGCCGCCACTGGCCTGGCAAGGGTGCAAATCAGCACCCGGGGAGTCGTCGCCCTACACAGGCCAATCATTCTACGGGCTGCGCTCAATCGAGATATGCGGCTAAGCTTGGGATGCGCTTCTCGACAGATCTGGGACTAAACGTCCTTGGCCCCCGAGCTCCGCGGGCGCTTGCTGCAGTGATTCAACAAATGCCCAGTCCGATCACGACAACAATGCGACTTACAACGACGGCAAATCACCAGCGCACACGAAGCATTACCAGATAGGGCAGTGCACCTGTGGTGGCGAGCCGACCAGAGTTCCACGTCGAGCCTGGACCTGCCCGGACACTTGCCAGGGGCCGGCGGGGACCTGGCGCCAGGGGGGCCTGCGTTCGGGAGCTGCGCAGGGGGCCGACCGCCCCTCGAGACGACTGGGGAGGTATTGCAGATCCAGAGAGGGCCAATCTGCCGCCAGCCATGTGGACGCACGGGCTTCTTGCCGGGGGCCGCTTCCTGCTTTCCGCCGAACTTGGGGCCCAAGTCGAGCGAAAGCCAAAAAGGCAAAGGGCGAGCAGCAAAACCAACCCGCGGCCCTGGCGCCAGCAAGCTGTCCGCCTAGAAGCTCGAAGTCCTCCGAGGGCGGCAAAGAGTGCGACGGCGGACGGCGCAGCAAGCTTGGCTGAAACATCGCATAATTATTGCCTAAGCACAAAACGCGGCCTCGTTCGCCAACCGCTTCATCCACATCTAAATGGGCCTTCACTTCATTGACAGCGAGGGAGGGGAGGTCGAGGCGAGCGAACTGAGCACAGCCACAGTACATGCGCTTGTGGCAACATTGTTGGGCTCAAGGCAAATTCGCGCGATCGATCCACCACTCTTTAGCAATCCGAATGCACAGCGGGGGCCCGGGCAGTAAACCGAATAGCAGCACAGAAGGCATGGAATGCAGCGCTCTGGGGCGTTTGCGGGTCCGGAGGCCGCGCTGGGCCTCGGGCCCGAATCGTTTCCTCGCTACAGGACGGGCCGAGTAGGGAAACCGTCAAACCAGCGCGCGCAAGATCCGAAATTCGATGGCGCAGGCTCAAACCATCAACGAAGATCTCACCCCCGAGGCCCGGGTCCATCAGCAAAGATCTCACCCCCGAGGTCCGGGTCGAAATTGGGCCCCCTAAGGCCTTCACGTAATTTCGCAACCAGCCCTTCTGCATGGAGAGGCCGGGGAACATGCTCAGCTGGGCGAGGGGGAGGCGCCGTGACAAGCGAAATCGTCGCAGGCCTCAGCTGCCCAAGCCTGAACCCGAGCTGGAACTCGCCCACCCCTCCGGGCGAAGCAGGGCGGACACAGCCTCAGTCTGCGACGAATGCTGTCCTTAGCAGAGCGGCGCAACTCACAATCAGCATCGGTCACGCATCCCAAGGCGAAACGGGCCGCATTGCAAAAAAAACGAAGAACCTGATGCAACAAGTCTGGAGCGAAGGCATCTTTCTGGAGGTGAGCCACGAGATAATGCCACCCGCGCATGCGCAACCCATGTTGCGGCGAGCTTCCAGGTCCCATTCCACCACCTTGGGCTCGCTTCAAGAGAAGCCGGAGCATGGCAGACTTCCGGATGAGACGCGCACCGATGCCACGCTCATCTCTCGAAACGGTAAACGGCGGCATGGTTCAATTCATCTTCTCAAGAAAGCTCCTTGTCGCACAGAGGGGGCCAGAGACCGGGCGCCGGAGGCATGAGGGGCGAGAGAACGTCACTTCCCAAGCCGCACGGAGCGCGGCCAACGAGAGGCAGTGGGGGCACAAACTGCGGCTAATTACCCGGGCCTCCTCAGCCCGCCGATAGATTGGAACAATCGCCGCGACCCATGGAGGGCCACCGCGGCAGAACATCAGGGCAGTGAGACAGCGCCCCCCCAGCGTTAGGAAGGGCCTTGCCAGCCAACCTCCCGAGGGAAAGAATCCCCGGATCAGCCGCGCCAGAGAATTCCGCGCCATGCGCTGCGCCAGGACGGGGCCCCACACTAACGGCCCTTTTTGCCCTCTGCCCGCTGACCGCGGGCCTCGAACGCACCGAACGCACGGTTCGATCCCTGGCCTTGCGAAGGCGCCCCTTGGCCCTGGGGGAACGCTCCGCAGCGGCGTCGTCGACCCCGGGATCCACGGCCGAGGCAGAGTCGCGATCGGACCCACCTAGGCCACCCACGACTGGCCATAGCAAGGGCCCGCCAGAGGATGCTGGAGGAACGCGCCAGGGCCGCATTTTCGACGCTGACCTGGGCGCCGACGCCGTAGATCGAAGCTTCGCGATGGTCAGCGGCAGCCCTGGCCAGTCAAAATTTGCCCAACAAGGCCCGTGGCCAAAACCCGCTGTCGGCGATGCGCAGTTTCAGGCGCGCACCTTGGGAGGGGCCGAGGGCGCCCAGAGCGCGAATGACATTGGCCCCGACGCAGGGCCAGTCCGCGCGCGGCCCCCGCCACGGCAAGGAAGCGGGCTCGGGCGCGCATTGCAATGCAAAGGTAAGAGATGCCAACGAGGAGCCCAGCCTAGTGGCACTTCGGCGCCAGCGCGGCCTCGCCCCCCACTGGCAGCGGCGCCCCCCGCGCGCGCAGCTTGCTTGGCGCCGCGAGACGCCGGGCCCCCTAGAATGGGCTCGCGCAGAAACGGGGGCGCATCGAGCGTCGCCCAGAATCGCCAGCGAAAGGCCAGCGAAGCTTGCCAAGTACCCCGAACGCACTGCAATGAAAGCTAAAATGCTCACAGTAATCTGAGAAGGCGTAGTCGCCGAACTCCCAATGAAAACCAGCAGGTCACGAAGCAGGCGCAGGCTGGACTCGTAGATTATGTTCGCATGCCCCATGTGGATACTGTCAGTGGCCACGGCCGAAGTGCCCCGAAGCGCCCTCGAGATGGCGAGGAGATCTTCGGGCTTGAGCGCGGGGGGCGAGGGGTTTAAAACGCCCTCGGGCATCCAAGGCCGCCTCTTGCCGCCCCCGCCCCCCCCCCGCGCCACCCCGATGGGCGAAAGCTCTTGGCGCGGAGCAGCGACGACGGATCCGCAACCGCCGTTCCATGCGACGATGAAAAGGTGGTTCGGGCCTGGGGGGCGGGCCCCTTGGACGCCGCGCGGATGCGCGCGGCCAACCTGGCCAGCGCAAAGAAGGAACTAATCTCGCGAATCTCGCCACGCCACCGAAGCCGCCTACCCGGCATCGGATTTGACCTCCGAAAACCCGCGTGAACATTGTCGACCCAAGCAGAAACGAAACATAACGTGCCACCTCGATGCGCCGACGCGCTGGCAACCCCTTTGGCGAGCCCGTGAGACGGGAAGTAGGAGTCATGCACCTTGGAACCCCGGACAAATTTACACGCAGCTTCACCTGGGATGGCCCACTGGCCCAGCTCATCCCCGATGAACGACTGCACCGCGGCCTCGGAGGGCCATGTTAAAGTTGCGATCAATAAGACCAAGGCAGCCAACAGATTCGAGCGAAGCACTTGATTTCGAGAGAATGTCCCAGTTGCCCGAAGAGGCCCTGGCAGTCGCGCAAGTACAATGAAATTGCCGAAGAACAAACCTGCGCGTCGCCTGGCCGCTGAAGAACAGAAGCAATGGCGCGGCTGTCGACCTCGGCCCCGGAACCAAGGAAGCATAATCCCATGCCAGCGGGCGCCAGAATTGCCGCGCCTGCTGACGGCCCACCATGGGGGTTTTGGCAGGCAGGCAGGCCGGGACAGCGATTTCCGCCCGCGCCCGCGGCGCCACGAGGACGCCGAGCCAAGCGCACCATGGAGCAAATGGTGCTCCTCGAGCAAGACCACCTGAACAGTAGATCTTTCCAGCGACGGACGCGAAGTTGTTCTGAGCGGTCTGCGAGGGCCCCAGCGGTTCCACGAGCGGGGGCCCGGAGCGCCCTACATCCTCGGGCCGCAGAAATCCACGACGAGACGCGGCGAGACTAGAACGCGCGGCCATGTCCACGCCGGGGCCTGCGCAGTCGGAGGGGGGCGCCGGCGCCCGGGGACAAGTCTCGAAGTCGCCCGACGCGGGGGCCCTCAGAAACTGCGCAACTCCCCGGGGGCCCCGCAGAGGGGGGGCGGAGCGCGCCCTGGTCAAGACTCGGCCAACTCCCGAAACGAGGTTCCGAGCACGGCGCAAAGTAAACCTCGCGCAAGATAATGAAGACGACTCGGACACGCGCGCGCGGACTCGACCACTGTCACCTCTGGGCCCTGGCAAATCGCAGGCGCGAGCGGCCACCCACACTAACGAAGGGCCCAGAGGCTCACCGAGGGGGGCCTCTCCATCGAGTCTGCAAGGCGGGCCCAAATGCCCGGGGGGGCGGGCTCCTGGGTCCTAAGCGGCGGAGAACTAGAGAATTGGCCGCGCCCCCTGATGGTTCTGCCAACGCCAAGGCCAGCGGAGACACGGCAGGAGCGCTGAGGCGCACTGGCGCGCCGCGCCTCAGAATTGAAATAACGCCGATGCACTTCGCGCCGCTGCCCCCCCCCCCCCCGCTACCCCGCGGCGGCGGGGGGGGGGGGCTCCTGGAGATCCGCGCGGCCAGGAGCACCCTCGCCCGTCGCGGCCTCCTGGGGCGACTCCGCGGGGGCCCCCGCGGCCGGCCCTCCGCCCTCGGGCCGAGGGGCGCCGGCAGCCCCAACGGGAGCATGAACGGGAGCACCGCCCCGGTCATCAGGTCTGCGACGACGCTTGGCGGCGAAGCGTTCGAAACCATTATCCTGGTCGTTCTGGAAGGCCCTGGCCTTGTCCACCCCGTCGCCGAAGAGCTTGAGCACGGCGCCCTGGTCTGCCTGATGAAGTTCACGCGACCTCTCAACTTCTCCCAGATCTTTGCCAATGAGCTCGCAGTCGTCCTGGGGCTTGAGCAGCGAGTCGATCGAGATTGGGATATCCTGAGCGCTGCCCTGGAGGGTGGCGGATATGCCCAACGTCGGTGGGGGGTGGGGGGCGGTGGCGGCTGGCCAGGCTGCGCCAGCTGCTCGTGCAGCTGCTGAACAAGCTTGGTGTGGGCCGCCTCCGCTTTACCGAGCGTCTCGCTGAAGCTGCGGATGCGTCCCCGCTGCTGGTCGAGGTCCACCACCATGCGATCGTACACTGCACATGCTTTCTCAGTCTTCTCCCGTAGCTCGTGCACCTCGAGGAGTGCTTGGTTGACTTCGGCCTGAAGAAGAACAGCATGGGTGGCCAAGTCGCGCTTCTTCCTGTCGAAGACGAGCTGATGCCGCTTCGCGCAGGAGGAGGAGGAAGAGGAGGAAGAAGAGGAGGAGGAAGAGGAGGAGGACGAGGAGGAGGAAGAGGAGGAGGCTTGTGTACCTAAGCTTCCTCGCCAGCCTGACTCGACGGGCGACCGCCGCGGAGCCGCAGTCGCCTGCCCATGAACGTCATGGCTCTGACAGGAGAGCCCAGAATCGAATCGATAAATCGGATCGGCAATCGACATGAATCGGATCGGCGGAAATCGGCAGCCGAATCGGGAAACGTCGAATCGGCGGAAATCGGCAGGCTAGTATGCCTCCAATCAGAAATCGGAATCCAAATCGGAAGCCCAAATCGACTCGAATCGGAATCGGAATCCATCGAAGTCGAATCGAATCGAATCGGAGGAATCGAAACGAGCCCTGCTCTGACGTCTTCATTGTCTGCGTCGTCGCGCCCTTCCCGGATGCTGCGGTGATCCGTGCCGCGCCACACGCCTCGGACGAGGAAGACAGCGACCTCTACCCGACCCTCCTTCCTCGATGTTCGGCTGGGCGCTGCCGGTGCGGCCGAAGCGGCTGTCGGCGCGCAAATGCTGGAGGAGCGGCAAGGGCACGGCGAGACTGGGGTGTCGAGGCACGACCTCGGGGAAGGGCACGCGGCGGCGGGCGCCGCCCTCACTCGACCTGGCCAGCGACGAGTTTGCCATGGCAGCGGCTTCGTGGCTGCTGAAACAACCTTTGACTGGCAGCTGCATAACGTCTTCGACACGCAGGCTCGGCTAGTGAGGGCGGGCGGGAGGTGGGGGCTGGCAGCCGACGGGGGTCCCAGATGACGTGTGAATCGCAGTGCTGCGCGCTCCTTGACCTGGGTGCACGTGTGTAACCCATTTCAACGTTTCACTTCGGCCGCGCTGAGGCGACGAGGCTTGATGTCAAGCGCATGGCGCTCCGCTTCCGCACCTCGGTCAAAAGCAGTGCTGCGTGCTCACGGCGCCCTGTGCCGTAACATGTTCTCCGTGCTTCAACCGCAGTCTTGAACTGTCTGCCGCGTTGACGCGGCGGGAATGTGCTGTCAGGTGAACGCCACTCAGCTCCTACACCTCGCGAACGATGGCCTGCGGCTCTTCACGCTCGTGGCCCCCAGTGCAGAATCTGTATGTTCGTGGCTCTCTGCCTCAACTCTTGCACTCTTGCCGCGCTGAAGTGCGCAACGGTGGGGAAGACGGCGGGACTGTCGCAGCCCCCCCGTGGAGCACGGCACTCCGCTTCCGCCCACTCCTGAGGATTCTGCCGCCCTCGCGCTTGGCAACGTGTACCCTCTGTTCTGCGCGCTGCCGGGCGCACCCCGGCTGTGTACCCATCGGACGGAAGAAGTAGGTAGAAACATGAAGTAGGAAGGCGTTGGAAATAGATTGGGTTTCCGCCCGCCTCCTGAAGAGGAAGGAAAAAGGAAAACCACCCGACTCTTGAAGTAGGAAGGCGCTGAAAGTAGATTGGAATCTGGGAATCCAAAAATACCTACTTTCAACGACCGATGGGTACCCTCTGTTCTGCGCGCTGCCTTGGCGCACCCCGGCCGTGTACTGTCCAGCGCGTCCTCTGCAAGGGCGTCGCATCAGCCACGACTCCCTGCCGCCTCGGACTGGCGGTGAGCTTCTAGGGTGGCCCTGATCTGGGCGGCGCCTGGGTGGTCCTGGCGCAGGGCGGCAGTTTTGTCCGTCGGGTTCGTGGCTACGGCCCCCGTGTCACATACCTATACGACCACCCTTCGGGTGATAAGGAGGTTCGGGGGGGGGGGAAACCAACGTCTCACTCGATCGGTCTCACTATCGATCTCAGTATCGATCTCACTATCGGTCTCGCTCGATCGATCTCACTCGATCGATCTCACAATCGATCTCACTCGATCTATCTCATTCGATCGATCTCACAATTGATCTCACAATCGATCTCACAATCGATCACACAATCGATCTCACATTCGGTCTCAATATCGATCTCACTATCGATATCACAATCGCTCTCACAATCAACGTCATCATCATCATCATCATAATCATCATCATCATCAACATCATCAACATCAACATCATCACCAACATTGTCATCATCATGAGGGCACCGTCATCATCATCATCATCATCAACATCATCATCAACGTCAGCATCATCATCGGGACAACATCATCATCATCACCATCATCATCTCATCATCAACATCATCATCATCATCATCGGGACAAACTCATCGTCATCATCATCAGCAGCATCATCATAATCATCATCCTAATCGGGGCACCATCATGATCACCATCGTTCTCATCATCAGCATTATCATCAACATCGTCATCATCCTCGGGACACCATCATCATCATGATCATCGCATCATCATCATCGACATCATCATCATCATCATCAACAACATTATCATCATTGGGACACCATCAGCATCACCATCATCATCACCATCATCATCATCATCAGCAGCATCATCGGGACACCATAATCATCATCACCATCATCATCATCAACATCATTATCGCCGGGACACCATTTCCATCAACATCATCATCACCAACATCATCGGAATCATCATCATCAT